CCACGGCATGCCCCTACTAAACCCCTATCACTCCGATCCTAGTTGCTGCCGGTTTGTCCCCCGCACACTTCTATCAACCAATAGTTAATGTGTGGGGGTATTTTTGTCTTTACAATTAATTTTACTTATTTAATGATAATTATTAACTAAATGCAACATTTGGAGTAAAGTAATATTTCAAAAGTTCAAGGATAGAAAAGTGTCATTAGGCTATTATTTGAGTAAGAAAAATCGTTTACTCTTATGATAACCCATAATTTACAAACAAAACTAAGCAGAAAAGATCATACCACAATCTTGCGAACAATATGTAAAGTAATAATTGAAAATTGTGCTAAACCAAATAATTTTAATGAAATAAGAAAATTCTAAGTGATTTACTAAACAAAAAATTGTAACGAGAAATATGAAACAAAGAAGTAAAGGGTTTTGAAAGTTTAAGGGAAAAGAATTTACATGATTGATTTAGCTAAATCAGTAAAAGTTTTAAATTTAAATAGATCATGCTAGTAGAATTCTAGAATATTTAAAAAGTTGTAAAGTTTTAAGAATCGAAAATTTTTGTTCAAGGATTTTGACATGAATGGTCTCTTTAGATATTTTGTTTTACAAAATATTTTTTAAATTTAAAGGGTGATGTTATTGACTCCCATATTATCTTTAGGCTCCAATTTTAAGTTTCTCCATTAAAATTTTTAAGCATATGCAAATGTTTATACAAACTTCATTTATTTCCAAATACATTTTATTTATACATTTACTTTCTATATATTATACATTTCCACAATTTATTATTTATTTTTACTCATATCATCGAATGCATGTTTTAACATTTGTTCAATCATTAAAAAAAAAAAAAATTGCATTAGTGTCATCCACTAACAATATTTTTTATGATTATTGTTCCGAATTCTACGTTAAAATGGAATCTACTAACAATAATAATCAAGAATTTGAATGCATCAGACTAACATTATAAATTTAGGAGAAATACAGAGAAGAAAAAACAAAGAAAAATTATAAGGAATATATAAACAAGAATTAGTCCTTACTCTTGATCAATTTCTTCCATTTATATATTTTATCTCCTTTGTTTGAGAATAGAATTAGAGTTTATGATTGAAAAAAAAAAAAATCCTTAAATTAATAAGGCAAGGGTTTATCATAGGTCGAGTGTATGCTTTAACTCTTTTATATCATATTCAATAACTTTTATAAGGGCTAAAATTATAATATAAAAAATAATAATAATTGAGATCTAAAGAGATAAAAAAAAAGATGGGGGCTAATAGCACCATATAATTAAAAAAACTAATAATGAAGCTTAATAAGAGTCTAGATGTAACTCAGATAACACTTATTTTAATAAATAATATTCCTTTAATTAAAAAATTGAATAATAATATAGGTAAAAAAACAAGTGTCCTTAAGCCCATAAAAGAAAAAATACTTATATATTTCAATACACTTATATATACAAAAAACAAAAACCACAATTCGAATGTATTAATATATTTTATATTTTTGTATTCTTAAAACTTAGGAGTTGGGAGAAACCTAATCCATAACTGATGAACTCAATATTCTACTCATAAAATAAATCATTTAAAAACTTTATTATGATTGATACAATTCCAATGTATTAATATATTAAATATTCTTAAATACAAAGAAAAAAGATGTTAAAACTATTATAAACCCTTAAAACGACTCAGTGTTTTTGTGTTCGAATCGCAGGAAATGTACTTATCATATTTGTACAATTATCTTGATATATTGAATTTATAGGATGTTTCATGACCTTGAAGATTAGATAGACTCCAATATAAGTCTGAATACCTCGATTACCTTAAAAAAAAAAAGTCAAAAGTTAGGTGTTGGAAGAAAGCAAATCCCATCGTGTGCAATAGCATTAAATATCCACAACTGATGAACTCAGAAAATATATCATTTTAAGACTTTATTATGATTGATATTAGGTGGGATTTCTTTTTCATTAAAATTGGTTGTAGATGCCATCTGCCATAGATGCTTTCATGGCAATCAAATTAGTATTTTTTTTGGAATCCAAATACTATTTTATTATTCGAATGAAAGAATCAAGTATTTGGATGTTGGAATGAATAATTAAAAGAACACGTGATTAGTAAAGGCGATTTTATTGGACTTGGAGAATCATCACAAATATTTTTAATATATAGTTTTAGTTACGTCCGGGTAAGGTTTTATGACTAATTCCATCTTTGAATATTCCAATTTAACATCAAAAGTCAAAAGATTCTATATTCGTTAATTATTTGATTATTAGTTATGTAATTCATTTTCTAATTAAGAATAATGTTACGTACTCTACTTATTAATTTTTTATAATCTAGTTATGTAATATTGACATATAAATAATAAGATGATTGATGTTTACTTAAATCTTTGATTCTTGGTTTCTTTTATTTATTTCTTAATCGAATTATTTATATATATCAAAAGTGAAAAGATTTATAATCAAAAGTAAAAATTAATAATTATGTAAATCATTTCCTTAAGAATAGTGCTATGTTTTAGTTATCACTTATTAATATTCCAAAATTTTAATTTTAATTTTAATTTCAATTGATATGATATGTGATAATTAATACTTCATTAAGCATTACTTGAATAAGTGTACAAAATAGACCCTAAATATATTTATCTCCAATTAAATAAATTCATCCCATTTTACAAATTCTAAGTTAACGTTTGTCGACCTCTTACTTACGGAGTTACCAATGCGTTGACTTGAAATAATTTGTATGCTACCATTTGGGCCTACATTAAAATCAAATTCACACATGTTTGTTTGTAGTACTATAGAACTTTTGAGTCTTAAATCACATCCCTGAATTTGCTTCTAAAATTCAGCTCTATAGTCAACAAGTAGACAAAAGTAATGTTAGACTAAACAAAACAATGTGAAAACCTCGTGCGCCGTTCTGAATACTTCGTAAATATTTGCATCTTCCAAGGTTTTACCTTTTAAGAGTTATGCATAGAGTCAACGACTTTTTTCCCATCCAATTAATCGTTTTTCCATCTCTATAATTTTAAAATATTATTTTATTATCTAAATTTATATTTTAACGATAAATAGAGAGTAAACTCAGTCAAAACTATTGGAATTTTTAAAGAGGAACGATTGATAAGTCTTTTGATAGTGGAATGTTGGATTTTGGTGGTTGGGATTGATCGGAATTTGATTTGGGAAAGACAGCTACGCAAACTCTAATCGCTTGATTGCTGGTAATTGGCGAGGTTGACAGAAGTATGGTTTGAAGGGTTTTGGTGAGTGATGATAGGAAAAAAGAATGATAGTGGTGTGAGGTCACAATTATGCCGAAATCGAAAACGGAATATAAATTTAAGTAATAAAGTGATATTTTAATAGTCTGTGAGTGAAAAATGTTATTAAGCCATTAGTTAGGTGGAAAAAAGTCATTTACTCTTACGCGTATGAGCAAGGTCACGGTTTCATTAATTTTGGCATTTTTTCTTTGCCCACTCTTCAATGATGAAGTTAATTTTGAACGTTTGATTCTAATACTATTCAAATGTTCTACTTTTAATAAAGTTTTGATTCTTCGAATATTAATTTATTTGCCCATTAAGCATATGTGTTAATGTAATCTTACCAACCATGAACTATCTATAAATATACAACGAATTCAATGATTCCAATTCAAATTTATAACAAAAGCAAAATTCAGAAAATTAATTATGGAATCAATGAGTATAAGTTGACAATAGGGTTTATTTTTGACTTGGCTTGTTCATGTAGTAAAAATGTTGTATCTCTGTAGCAGCTGAAATCTTATATAGTCATTTTCCTAGAAATTTATTTCTCTAGAAGGAAGATGACGCCATTAGTGAGCTCATATAAGCGTTGAAGAATATCATTTTCTGGTTTGAAATCTGAAACAACATCTCCAAACTCTTTAATGGAGTGTTGATACAGAATTCTCTGCACTCAATTTGTTAGGAGACTAAGGTTTTCATATTCAAAAATCTTGTTTTTAGATTCCAAGAAGGAGAATCAGAATATGAAAATGTATATATATTAATAATAATATCACAAGGTCAAGTAGGCTATGAGATCACATGGGGAAATCTGATGAGTAAAAGTATGAGTGGAAGATATGGTGAAGGGGATTGTAAAGATGCAACTGATGAGATTAAATTTTACTTTAGGAATTAACTACGAGTTATAGAGAAAAGAAGTGAGATTTTCTACGAGAAAAGCGACATGCAATTAGTTTATTAGGCAATAATTGAAGTCTGGTCAAATAGAAATTTGAATTGAATAAGCCACGGAAACTCAACTTAATTATATCTTACCAAACACTGCAACGAAATCTCAACTGCCAGACCTTATAATTCAGACTCTCACTGCAAAATCTTCTCTGTTTGTAACACGTAATAGAATTTTATTGGAGAAATATACAAACAATATTTATTTGTAATTTATAATGATTTATATTTATCTAATTGAATATGTATAAGATACACTTTAAACGTGCATATGTATAAACAGAATCGAAATGTTTTTAAACATTTAACCCTTTAAATAAGGTAAAAGAAAACTAGTGGAAAAAAAATTTGAGCTTCTTAATAAACTGTTTTAACTAGTACAGTACATAAAGCTAATCACCAAGTCTCATACTCATGTAAACAAGACAGCAAGACACCTTGTTTTGGATAGAATAAGAAGAAATTTCCTACTCACAACACAATACAGATAATGTTGCCCAGAAACCGTGTATTTACTTAAATGATTGCATGGGGTCATGTCACATTTACGCGTCACACAATTACACATATGTTTCAGAAAAAAAATATCCTTTTCGTCACCAATTGGATCCTTACCACCCATTCCGAGAACCACTGCCTGTCAACTATCAAGTCAATCCGGAACTCTCATTTCACACGTCCAACCACGCTTCCAAACTCTGCTATATATACCTGTGCTTCCCATCTTCCTAATCATCACTACCAACTAAAAATATAACAGTTATCCTCAACTTTTGCTTACCAATACGGTACAACAATGGTGGTAGCTGAATTCAGTGGCGCCGGTGGCGGCGGATTCAGAAATATGAGGAGTTTCTCCTTCTGTTTGATCACCGGCCGATGGTTCATGGTGTTTGCTTCACTTTTAATCATGGCTGTAGCCGGTGCTACTTACATGTTTAGTCTTTATTCCAGTGATATTAAAACATCATTAGGCTATGATCAAACTACGCTCAATTTGTTGAGCTTTTTCAAAGACTTGGGTGGGAATGTTGGAGTTCTTTCTGGGCTCATCAATGAAGTAACGCCACCATGGGTGGTTTTATCCATTGGGGCTGTCATGAATTTCTTCGGGTATTTCATGATATGGCTCGCCGTCACCGGCCGCATTGCGAAGCCGAAAGTGTGGCAGATGTGTCTTTACATATGTATTGGTGCCAATTCTCAATCTTTTGCCAATACTGGAGCTTTAGTCACTTGTGTCAAGAATTTCCCGGAAAGCCGAGGCAGTCTTTTGGGCCTTTTGAAAGGTTTTGTTGGTCTTAGTGGTGCCATTATGACACAATTATACCATGCTTTCTATGGAGACGATTCAAAGGCTCTTATTTTGCTTATTGCTTGGCTTCCTGCTGCAGTTTCCTTTGTTTTTCTTAGAACAGTTCGGATAATTAAGATCGTTCGCCAGGCGAACGAGCTGAAAATTTTCTACAAGATGCTCTATATTTCTCTTGCTCTTGCTGGTTTTCTCATGGTTATAATCATCTTTCAAAACAAATTCAATTTCACCAGACTTGAGTATGCTGGTACTGCCTCACTTGTTATTATATTACTCTTCCTTCCTTTAGTGATTGTTGTCCCGGAAGAATTCACTCTCTGGAAAAGCAAGTTACAGGCCTTGAACAATCTTTCTCAGCTGAAAGTAGTGACTGAAAATCCACCGGCGATTGTTGAATTACCACCAGTACAAACACCACCCGCCGTAGAGCCTCTTCCGCTATCCACCGACGCTCCGGCAAGTCCAGAAAAGTCAGATTCTTGCACGGAGAACATCTTCAAGGCACCAAACAGAGGTGAAGATTATACCATCTTGCAGGCACTTTTTAGCATTGACATGCTGATTCTTTTCGTTGCAACAACCTGTGGAGTGGGAGGGACATTGACGGCGATTGACAATTTGGGTCAAATCGGGGCTTCATTAGGCTATCCAGCTCGCAGCACCACCACATTTGTGTCATTAGTAAGCATATGGAATTATCTTGGACGAGCTGTTGCCGGTTTCGCCTCCGAAATCTTGCTAACCAAATACAAGATCCCTCGTCCATTATTGCTCACATTTGTGCTTCTCTTCTCTTGCACCGGCCATCTTTTAATCGCCTTTGGTGTCCCGAATTCACTCTATGTCGCCTCTGTCATCATCGGATTCAGTTTCGGAGCTCAATGGCCACTGATGTTTGCAATAATATCAGAAATATTTGGCCTCAAGTACTACTCAACATTGTATAATTTTGGTGCCGTGGCCAGCCCGGTTGGATCGTATATTCTTAATGTGAAAGTGGCCGGTCGTTTATATGATAAAGAAGCCTCGAAGCAAATGGCGGCTTTGGGTAAAACAAGGCAGGATGGACAAGATTTGGCTTGCACAGGGGTGGAGTGTTACAAAATGGCTTTCATTATAATCACGGCGGCCACATTCTTTGGGTGCCTTTTTTCGGTCATTTTGGTGCTCAGAACCAAGAAATTTTACCAGGGGGATATCTACAAGAAGTTTAGAGAGCAAGCCAAAGCTGCCGAGACTGATATGACCACCACTGGAATTGGTGTTAAACCATTGAATGAGCTTACATCAAAAACCGCCAACACTGACACCGCCGCCACCACTGAGGCCACCGCGACGACCACCACCGCAACCAGAATCAGTCCAGATTAAATAATGGGTAGATTATAGATACACAGTTAACTAACTTTTGATTATGACCATTATTACTAGGGTCTCCCTTGTACTATAAATTATGGTAATTTTTCTTCTTTTTTCTTTTGTCTTTTTATTGCTTTTTGTAGACGAAAATAAATCATTATGCAATGAATATATGCATACTCCAATTTTTTTACCATTTTAAAGATTTCTTACTCCCGCAAACCTACTGAGGTGGGTATATATATATAAATTTAGAGGGCCAGCGGCCTAACTCACAGCTTGAAGATAAGCATTTTTGTCATATCAGGCTAATTTACAATTGTTGGCAGTTCCTGATATACTTGTATCGTATGATAAACTTTGGCCCTTCGTCTGAAAGTAATAAAATATATCGATTTTACAACAATTTATCATACAATTACTTTGTTTTTATGTAACCTGGTGAAGCTTTAAGTTCACCATGAACCACAAACAAGAGAACAAAAACAAAAAAGTTCTGTGACATGATTTGGACGTTGTGGTTGCTTGTGGGATCATCTCTTTCTCTTTTTTCTTTTTTCAATTTATCAAAAAAGTATTGAGCATGCTCTTATTTTGGAGGCATTTGGTAGGTGTTGTGGTTGAGTTTACTGATGAGATACCATTTTCAGTGAAAGTTGTGTGCCCACCATTCCTTCTTCCGAGATTTTGCCCACCAGCCCCACCACCAATAATACAAGACACTGCAAAAGAGAACTCTCATTCATTCACTCACTCACTCATTTACTCACAGCCTCATGTCATTTGATGATTCATCATCCTCACACTCACAGCCCCACTAATTAATAATCTCTTTTTTGTTTTTTATCGTTTCCTTCTTTTTAACAAATTAGAATTGACCCCGGAAAGTTCATTACCTAATTGCTTGGTATTTCTGTAAAATGTTTGCCATTTCAGACTTCAATTTTGATTTGAACTAAAAGAAGCAAGAGGGTTTTCGAAACAGAGCAGTCATGAAGCTGGCAGCCACGTGTTGTATCACAAATTACGCAGCAAAAACTAAGCACATTTAAGGGAGAAGTGATTGAAGTCATGCAACGTGCAGTTTCTCTGATTCTTGAAAAGACTGCTTGACGGTTTCTGTTAGGAAGATAAACATCGCTATTTCCAGTACTTTCTGTGGAGAAGAAGCGATTTTGAAAAACGATTTTGTCTCTTTTAATTGAGATGTATGTGCTTTATTATGCCAAATTTTAGGTTCCAAAAAGTAAGGAGGTATTTGTCTAAGCTTATAAGCTGATCAAATTTATTTATAAGCTCTAAAATTAAGCTGATCTGTTTGTTTANGCCGTCATGAAGCTGGCAGCCACGTGTTGTATCACAAATTACGCAGCAAAAACTAAGCACATTTAAGGGAGAAGTGATTGAAGTCATGCAACGTGCAGTTTCTCTGATTCTTGAAAAGACTGCTTGACGGTTTCTGTTAGGAAGATAAACATCGCTATTTCCAGTACTTTCTGTGGAGAAGAAGCGATTTTGAAAAACGTTTTTGTCTCTTTTAATTGAAATGTATGTGCCTTGTTATGCCAAATTTTAGGTTCAAAAAATCAGAAGTTGAGAGTAAGACGATTCTTTAGAAAGGAAAGACAAGTTGTAAACATCATCCATAGGCTGCCAACTCCAAAAACGATTTTTATATATGATTTGGAAAACAAATATAGCAAGTCGTGGTGTTCTTTGAAACCATCAAAACCTTTTACAAATTCCTTTTTAATTCATATTTATTAAATAAAATATTCATGTATTGAAAATCCAAAAATAGAATGAAATCTTTCAATTTAATTTTTTTACACAAATTTTTAGTCATAGATTCAATACATTCTAATAGTTTAAGAATTAAGGAGTTCTATAAGCTCCTGAGTTTGAGTGTCCCTAAACATTAATAGGAGTGGCCACTAAAGCTCTTATTTGACCGACAATTTTAAAGCCTTGGAAGATTAATTAAGGTATGTGCAAGTTGGTCTAAATATCTTGGTGATTAAAAAAAATATATTAGTTTAGGAATTGCTTAGGTGACAAACATAATAAGTACTTCCAAACTCTTTCTTACATTCATTGAATTGCAAAATATCAGTGGCGAAAAAACATGTCTCAATTTAAGTCAAAAATTTAAATTAAAACATTCATTGAATTGTTAATCTAATTTTGCATACAATTTTTGTTGGTTTTAATAATGTTAAAGAAATCTATAACCACCATATATTTTGATGCCTCCTTGATATACCAAATTTTGGTTTCTTGCAAAACTCGATTGTGGAATATGTGCCCAAAATAGTAGTTATGTTGATCCATGGTAAATGAATCTCATTTATGTGGCTTTTAGTTTCTTTGACAAATAATATCTTAAAAGAAATGATGTTTCATATCATCATTATAACTTGATTTAAAAAAAAAAAAAGAAGGTAAGGTTCTAATTTTATTTAAATTAAGGCTTAGAAACAGTTTTTATGAGGTTTAATTGAGTCCATAGGATTAGGATCTGGTCTCTGTTAGAGATTGCATCAGTAAGGTTCTGGACCCAGATGAAGTGGGCTAGGCCTTGACTGGACCTAGGCATTTAAGTTACTGTGCCCGATGATCCGGTCCATTTATTTTAATTATCAGCTTTCGGACCATCATAAAACTTTGAGTAGCAAGTTTCTTAAAATTAACCACCTTTGGATGGAAAAATTGTTTGATAGAGACCCTTAGTTATATTATTCAAGAGATCTTGAGTTTAATTATCTCATTGGTTAATAATAGGGATAGTTACTAAAACTCTTACTCGACCAGTAGTTTCAAGATTCTAAGATATTAGTTAATGTGTCTGTAAGCTAGCCCGAATATCCCGATTATCAGAAAAAAAAAAAAAAAAAAAAATATGTTTCTTAAAATTTATGTCTGGAATAATGTATTATCATATTATTCATCTCACTGTTAGCTTTTTTAATTTCTTCCTTACTACCAATACTTCATCAATTAAAGGCATACTGATGATACTTGTGTATTCATTCTTTCAAGACATGATCATATGATTAGCCCCTTACAACCGTTGGATTTCTAGTTTTCTACTATATTTCCTGAGTATTTATTCTGAAAAAGACACAATATTTTGCTAGCTCGTAGCATTCCCTTCGTATGATGATACGCAACAATGTTTTGATTTTCAATATTAATAGTTGGTATTGAATTTTATTAATACTATGTTCTCTGTTATCACCAATAAATAAATAAATAAACGCTTCTAAAATAATTATTGATTATTTTAAAAATTAAATTAAATAGCTATTGATTAAAATTAAATATTAATTATGTTGAAGAAAAATGAGCTTCTCCTATAAACTCTTTTTAAGTTTATTTAAAATATTGAAATTTGAAAAATAATCTTATTCTATTTTATATATTTGACTTCATCTATTTTTGTATATTAAACCTAGCTATTTTACATTTTTCCAACTAAACAAAAAAACAAATTGTTCATAAAATTTATATTTTCATAAACTCTATTCTAATAAACTCTTCTTTTATAAACTCTACTCAAATAAATCATACTATACAGTGATATGCAAAAGCTCAACCACCTTTTGAGTGTAATTTGTGAAATTTGTTTTGGTAGATAAAAGTTTAATGAGTAAAGATAGGGGTGTGTAAAACCGGGTACTCGAACTGGTTCGAAATATATATTTTTTTAATTGAATTAGATTTCCAATTCGAGCAATTAGTCAAACCAAATCCGAACCAGTTTGATGGTTAATCCGATTTTGAACCAAACCAAAATTTCAGTTCGATTTAAAACTTGAAAGAAATGCTTGAAAAAAAACATCAATTTGCACCGGTTGAACATCAATTTACAAACAACATCGACATGACAACATCAATATCAAATTTAAAACAACTCTGCTGCTCAAATAGAGTAGAATTTATTATCTATTGGAAGGAAATGGAAGAAACACAACATCACTGCCTAGATGCTATTGCAGGGAAATGGAAGAGAAACATCACTGGGCAACTCTTGATAAGTGAAAGTGATAACCCTATTCATGGGAAAACAATAATAATTCAATAACAAGTACAAAAAAATTGTATATTCTACCTTGTACCAATACAAAATGTCATAGAGACAGTCTCAATCATTTAGATGAACACGAGTATTTTTCATTACCAAAGACGAAAATTCTACAAAAATATGGAAAAAAAAATGTAGAATTAAGTAATGGTACAAACTATAGTCAACACTCAACATGTAAGAAAAAAGTTATAACTAAATATTAAATAATTGAAACTAAAACAAAAGTTTTACCCGACTCAATGTCTGATATTTCATCTAGTCTCCACCATCTTAGAAGTAAGGAGCTACGAAATGGATTGAATACCCGACCCTCGATACTAAAAGCTGATTCGGATGCAACAATGGAAACAAACATAGCCAAAACATCCTGTGCTATCAAAGAGAGAACTTGATATCTCGCTAAATTTATCTTTCATCAATTCAAGATATCAAACTTCTTGTTTTTGCCAACTTCACGGTCTTCTTGTATATATTTATCCAACTCAGATTTGGATTCCAAAGCTCGATGCCAGCCCTTTGCTCATTAAACATAACCATCATAAAGTCTTTAGGATCAAGATTTGCATCATTAACATCAATCTTACTTGCAACTTGAGATTGCTCACTTGACTGTGCAGTAGGAGAAGTAGTAACCAAACTGTATTCCTCAAATAAAGAGAACAAAGTTTCTTTCACTTTTGTTTTCAACTTATCGGCATTAACAACATCATAAGACTGATTAATAACCCAATTCACATATTCTAACTTGTGCCTAAGATCTAGTAACTTTGCAATGAATAACCTTAAGTTAATATTATCAACATTTGACCAATATTTATCATGTTTTCACTTCATTTTTGCAGTGATAATACTTAAGCCAGTATCATTACTTTTATACCATGTCGAAATCTTCAACCTAATGCCATACATCTCTCGCATGTATGCATTACCGGTAACATAAAGAGAGCTAGACACACGTAGAGTTGCATCATAAAAAACTTTCAGAAAAGGCAATAAGTATTGAGCATATTCCCAATCAGTAGACCGGTTCAAAACTGGTTAATTGGTTCGGTTAATAACCGGTTCATATAGAAATTTGGTCCGATTTCGATTTGGAATTAACCTAAATCGATTTTTTGGTTTGGTTCGGTTTAGTTCAAAAAAGGCCGAACCGATTCAGTTAGTCGGATTTTTCCTCCCATACTCATTTGTACTAAAACTAA